CATTTATTCAATATGGTTGTAATAGTTAATTAGGTTTAATTTTCTTGCAATCCCCATTTGTAAATTTGTACACCCCCTCCCCTAATGATGTAATAGCGTAGTAATTTTACTTTTCGCAATTTATCGCTTTATATAAATGCAAGTAATTAGGGTTTGTATGAGAAGATAAAATCAACAAGTAACAAACCCTAATCAAAGACTAAATAAAGCATGAAAATCAATACACTTGCACACAAGCACCCCTAGGGTAAAATCCACTTGGTTGCCTTATAAAAATGGTCATATTATGCATGTGAGGTATCTTAGCAAAAACAAGCAAAAATACAAGATCATAGTCCCTCGATGACGCTATCTATGTTGCCTTTTCAAAATGATCTTAGTCCCTAAAGAAAGATGCTAAGATACCTTATAACATTGCTAATCATGGTTATACGATGACCCATGCCTGTCCCGTTTACATCCAAAGATAGGGTTACTTACCAAATCAATGGTAAAATGACAATGTCAAAGAAAAGAGGAAATAAACATGAAAGACTTTTGAGTAGGTAGAAGGTTCCTACTTGCTTTCTCATTTTCAAAACATAAACATCCTTGCTATTTTCAAAACAAACACCAACACTTTCAAAAAAACATCTTTCAAACTTGAAACATTTTCAAAATATCAACACTTTGTATACATTCTTACGAACGATAATCATTACAAAGTTTGCCTAAACGATGGCGTCTTTACAAAATACTTTCAAAACCACACAAAGCATATTTTCAAACAAAAGCAAGTGATCTAGCAAGTAACTAAGAGCCCATGGAAAACCATGGATGAAAAGGGTGCTAATACCTTCCCTTTTCATAATCTACCCCCCCCCCCCCCCCCCCCCCCCCGAACTCAAGAAAACATCTCAAAGGTCTTTCATGTTCTTTTTAACCTTTCCTTTTGGATAAAATAAAAGTAGGTGGCGACTCTTGCTAACCGCAACATTTGCAATAAAACGCAAAAAAACCAATTCAGTTCTCCCACCGTACCACAACATGCCATGAAATGTGATTAAAATTAGAGATTCGAAGTTTAAAATTTTACCAAACCGGTGTTGTCAAATGGGGGAGTGCTAGGCGTATGATGTATTACTCTTGGGCCTTGTAAGACTCATGAGGACTTCAAGAGGACGGTTTGGGGCTTGATGTTAATCGAGAGAGACCAGAACCTCGAGATATGACTTGCACCAATTCTTTGATTTCTGGAGAGCTTTTTGAAGAGCTTTTGGAGAGCTTTTTGATAGATTTTCAGAGAGGAATTTCATGTGTTTCAAGCTTGTATGGATCTATATTTATATAGTAGAATGAGGAGACAAGAGAGCATGGAAAGAATCTCCCCCATAATGTTGTGTTTTAAGACCATGATCAAAATTTGAAAAAATACCATATTTGATGATTTTATGCCATTTTCACATGTGGATGAACCTGGACATATTTGAAGGGTTATTGCACGAAATCAATTGACATAAACCAATATAAAACTTGCCCAAAATGGATTCACATCAAAATTTATATTATTTCTATTATTTATTTATTTAATTCTGAATTTTAATGAATAAAATATCAAAATAAATAGCATAAATAGTAGAAAAATGTATGGGTGGCCTTAGAGGTCGTGGACCAGTTAGTAATGAGTTTCAAACTTGAAAAGATAGGCCCATTTGGAAAAAATTCAAGTTTGGTCAATATTTGCTTCATGTATTTTTTTTCAAAAATTGGCCAACTTTAACAATGCACATCTCTCTCAATTTTAACCCTATGAGGGTGTTCTTGGACTTTTTAGAAAGATTAGGATGTCCCCTAAGCAAAAAATTTGGTTTCATCTCAATTGGATCTTCCATGTTCATGTATGAAGCTTTTACCCAAAAGGTGTTTTTGTTGACTTTTGAAAATGACCTATAATATCTGAATTTATATCTTTTCATGAGTGCATTTATTGAACTTGAAGGCTGAAGATGAGTTGTGTGTAATTGGATTCTATTAAAAATGAGCCTTGGATGAGAAATTTATGATAAAGTATGAGAAAGTTATGTCTGGTCAAAGTTTGGTTGACTTTTCCTATAGGAACCCTAATTTAGCAACTTTTAAGTTTTGATGAATTAGGAGCATTCCTTGAGGAATCATGATCAACCATTGATCAAATGATGGATAGCAATTCAAAATGTTGATGTTGACCAAAAATATTGAAGTTTGACTGTATGTGGGTCACAATTGACTTTTGACCTAGTATAGTTGATTTTCAGGCATTTGAGCAGTTGACTGAGAAAACTTCTTGTGCAAGGCATGAAACTTGGCATGGATGATCTTGAGGACATATTAGGGCAATGGAAACCACTTAGGACCCTTGGAAACTAAAACATCTTGATGAGGAGTGAAACCCTAGTTTGAGGCTCATTGTCTTAGGAGGAGGATTTGTCTGGCCAATCCTTAGTCAACTTGAGCAATTGAGGACCTCTAGGAGTTTATCTGGTGTGAAAATTGGAGGGAAAATTTTGGGGTGCAACGGGTATTTGCTCAAATCTGATTCCCTTTTACACCACACTCTTAAAAATCTTTTCAAAAACGCTTTATCACACTCTTGAAGACTGATAGAAGAGTTATCATAAAGCAAATAAAATCTTTTCAAAACACACAAACACGAAAGCAATTTTAAAAAATGAGCAAGTACCTAAGAGCCCGTGGAAAACCACGGATGGAAAGGGTGATAACACATTCCCTTTCCATAATCTACCCCCCTTACTCAAAAAAATTTGAAAAAGGTCTTTTTATGTTCTTTTCACCCTTTCCTTTGTTGGATAAAAGAAAAGTCGGTGGCGACTCTTGCTTACCGCGACATTTGCGAATGCAAAATGAAAATCAGTATTAACAGTCGGTTCTGCCACCGTATCACACATGCATATATACTACTTCTCACAGACTTAAACCTATTGACCTGTTATACTCAACCTACAATATTCATCAATATCTCTACGTAACACTCCTAACCTAAGTCATTTCTAACCCAAATTAAGAGGTCGACTGCATCACCTCCGTAGAAATCTCTCAACCACCTAAATAACACAGAAGTCAACCACGCTCACCTGCATCGACGATCTCTCAGAGTGACAAAAACAACACAAAGGTATTAAGCTCTGATACCCAAGTAGATGTCAGCTCTAAATCTATCTCTAGAGTTCAGAAACTAACATATAATCATCCTAGATAAGAATTTAAGCAGTATATGTCTATAACAACTCAAATCCCTAACACATAGTAAAAATCCAAGACAACAATCAACAAAGATTCGTAAAGCAAGTTTTATATAATACTAAGTGCGACAAATACACGTCAGTTCAAAGAAAATATACATACAAACCCAACCAATAGAGAATACACAAAGAAAAAGATAAATGAACCACAAATCTACTGGTTTGTCAGCATCGATCAAAGATTAATCCACCTCGGATCATCTGTATGCAAGCTCCATAGTTGTTATCTAAGCTAATCCTTACAAAATTTACAGGTTGATAGAGTTGGGAGAAAAAAATTCCCAAAACCATCCCTAAAAATGAGTTAAAATGAAAGTTTTAAAACAAATCTCAGCAGATCGCGCTAAGCGGGCTTAGCACGCTAACCGCGACTTGCTTATTTTACACATCAAACCGACCTAAACTGCGCTAAGCACGCTATCCGCGCTAAGCGGGATTCAAAACATTGGTTCTGCCAAATTGTCAAATGCAAGCAGTGCGCTACAAAACGCACTGAGCGGTACTCGTGCTTAGCGGCCTCTGCACACTAAGCAGGCTCTCCTAGATAGAATGTCCCAAAACTGGTCTTTTATTCCGAAAACGTGCATCTGGAGCCGTGCCTTCGACATATTATTACTCAATGATCCAAAATGCAACAAATACCTACAAAATGAATGGAAAAATATCAAACAATACACTATGTACATAAAGACACAAATAAACACAAACTAAACGTATTTACACAAAATTCAGGTTTATTCAACGATATTAACAAAAAAAAGTCGATAAGTGTAACAAAAAGTATATACAAAAATAACTACAATTTGCACTTATCACCAACTTATTTTCAACCTTTCTTTAATTAAGTCATTAATTTTTTCAATTTAAAACGCTTTTTATCTTATTTACTTTGTTTTTTTATCAAACCATTTGGCTCTCAGTCGAATGCACCATTTTGAAATCACTTTAACTACACACACGAATCACAAACTGAAGCACTATACTGAGATTTCCTGGTCGATCTCGCCAGTAAACTTGTTTTAAAGAGACCAGCGTTATTTACCAAATCTAGAGGTAAACCACTATTATTTTTAATCTGTATCAAACTTTTGTAACATTACTTAAATTCTTCTCTATTTTATTACTCTAATAAATATAGACCTTTCTTTTTTCACTAGTTTTAAAATCTGTATCAAACTTTTGTAACATTACTTAAATTCTTCTCTATTTTATTACTCTAATAAATATAGACCTTTCTTTTTTCACTAGTTTTAAAATTAGATGTTGATCCATGTGAATAGCATTATAATATGGAACCAACTACTCTACTTCTACCATTTATGGTAATTAATATAATGGTATAGAATATTTGTAATAAGGAGAAATTAATTTTAAATGAGTAATTAATTTTGAGTAATTCAATGAATATGTCTTGTATTTAAGAATGTTTATGCGTAAGTAATTTTGAATAATTCAATGAATAGACTCTACATTTAAGAATGTTCATGTATAAGTAATTTTGAGTAATTCAATGAATAGGCTCTACATTTAATAATGTTTATGCACATGACAGTTGTTTATCAAGTAAACACAAAATAGTATAATTTTTATGGTGTTTCATGCTACACATCCAATACTTTTCTGAGTAGCCATACAATATCAATATAGATTTACTAATTGATTTCGTGTTGAAATTATGCATCGTGTTGCATCTAGTTTTGATAATTTGTAGGAGAACGAACTATGATATCTATGACGGTATTTACATCGGTCTCCGATTGCTTTCACTTTTGAAAAGAAAGCCCATTAAAAACTTCTTTCGGTGATTTAAAGTGTGTTATATCTTCAGGCATATTATTGGAAAAGAGTCAACATTCCACCATACTTCAACTCAGGTGTTGCTTCTGGTCATCCTCATCACCTATACATGTGGGGACAACCTCAGGTAGTGCTCTATAAGTTCATTTACTTTGTGCGCATGGTTGTCCTTGTGTACATCCTTGATGGCAGGGATGAATAATTTGCCAACCTATTGTTTCTTTTAGCCTATGATGCATCCATATGGGCCTCCGTATGCACCATTTTATTCACATGGAGGGGTTTATACTCATCATGCGGTTGTCATGGTAAGTCTATATTCTCATAATTTTTGTTATGGTTCTCACACACACATGTTGAAGTTTTTGTTTACTATTGCTTGAACCATGAATTAGTTGATTTTATACTGGCTTACAAGTGGTTAGACCCATAGGAAACTATAGTTTTATGAACGTCACTATTGTTAATAGCATAATACTGATCAATATTCGTTTGGAGAAGGAGGAGGATTCAAAACTCAAGATGTTCAAGAAGGTAGCGTCAGAATCAGGTACTTTACTTTTAAGAGATTCATTTTTGAATTAATCAATTAATACTCATCAATCAATGGCAGCTCTGGTGGCTTGCTTTTCGAGATTACGAGAAATCTAGCGCAACAGACTATGCAAAAGTTGCAAGCGAGAAGATATCAAAATTGTTTTCATGGAATAGCTTTGAACGAGGACAAGCAATGAAAAGAAGACGATGTTTCATTATAGTGCTTCTTAAAGGTTATTTGATAGGTTTAGATTACATGCATGATCATGATAAATTGCACCAGTGTCTTGGACCATTTTCTATATCTCTCAAGTATGTAACTAGCAGACCTTTAGTTTTGTTCTATGTTTTCCATCTGGATTATATTTCCCTCTCACTCTATCATTAACAAGCTTAATTTTAATATGATGGCATGAAATAAGCATTTATCCCACCAGCTTGTTTGATGAAGTGTTTCTCATAATCCGTCCCATTAGTGGCGATTGTGCAGGTTTTGTAGATTTTAAATAAGATATCTTTATTCTTGATAATTAAAACAAGTGAAATTAAATTAAGATTATAGTCTGTTATAATTGATAGTGGCTTTAACACAAGTAATTTAAATAGAAAATGACAAATTTATATATCTGTTACAACTGAATTTAACTTATGGAAAACTTGATGTGTTATTTTAATCAAAGTTAAAATTTTAGTATTCAGGTTTTATCCAGTGCTAAAATTTCTTGCCATACGTATAAAACGTGATTATGTAATTCATGAAGATTTCATGAAGGTAAAGTGCTTCTATTTCATAACACTTAGTAGATATTTTTAGGTTGTATAAATTTTGTAGTAGGATGTTGTTGTACAAAAAAATTTTCCCTCTTACTTACCAAGAATTTGCTCACAAGATCTCCTTTGGCTCAAGACTGCACTAGGGTTGATCAGCTCAAGACACCTCCTTAAGCACTAATGACCTAAATTAAGGTTTGAGATTGCACAAGGATATTTGAACTTCCAATGCCTCATATGAATTTCAGGCATCATTATGGACCCTCAAGATTACTCATGTCAAGTTTCAAGCTTTGGATCACACTTCTGCTCAGTCAATTGAGCAGTTGACCTAAAAATCAGCTGTATTGGAGAAAAAGTCAACTATGGCCAATTTATAGTCAAACTTCATAATTTTGATCCACATCAACATTCTAAACTCATGTGTATCATTTTATCAAGTTTGGACCACAATTCCTTAAGAAATTTGATCAAATCTTCAAAAGGGTAAAATGGTCAAAATTAGGGTTTTGACTGGGAAAGGGCAATTTCTGATTTTTGACCTAGCAAATGATCAATTGGTTTAAGGCATGATCTCAAGAGTTCAATTGCATCATTTTGACATAATTACATGGCTCGAAAAATTACTCAAGTCGAATGGATTGACAAATGAATTTTTAGTCAACTGATTAAAAGTCAATTGTATACTGAAAAGTCAAACTTTGACTTTTTGGTCAAAATTAAATGCCAAAGATCACAATTCATCAAAGCATGCCAAAATATGAAACTTATTTATCAAGAAATCAAAAATTCAAGATTTCATTTTGAAAAGTTAAAATTTCTAAACTTAGAAATTTTTCTAAGTGTTGGAAATTTCTTATTTTTTTCACAACTTTGAGTATAATTTTAACCATGATGCAAGATGATTCAAAAGAAACTTCCAACATGAAAGTTATAGATCTCCATGAAATCTACAACATTTCTTTACACAACTCCTTCCGAAAGTGCTTGGATCTTAAGTTATAATTTTAAGAACACATGGTTATGAAACAAAACACTTAGTGAAATTTTGCCCTAATTTGGTCAGGATTTTGACCCAACTTCATGGCACTTTTTCATATAGTTCCAATGGTGATTTTAAAAGTTATTAAAATATGGCTTGTAGAGCACATTGCAAGCTTTCCAAAATGTCCAAGAACTCCTTGAAATCATTTTTGAGTAGGGAGAATCGAAGAGATGAAGTTAGGGTTTTATCACTTGAATTACAAGTCATTTTGTGATGAACAAGATTCAAAATTCAAACTTGTGCTGCATAACCTCTACTTTGAAGGCCTAAAAATTGTTAGGCACTCCATAGTTAATTGCTTGCACAGTTATTAGAGGTCTCAATTCAAGCATTCAATGCAAGGCCATGCTTTATATCCATTTTGAGAAGAAAGTGCACAATGCCATTTTGATAAAGTAGCTTTTTACACAAAACTTGTTCTTGAGCCTTTCACTTGTTCTTTTCTGATCATACATGTCTTATAATTCAAGAGAAACTTGTTAGACACTTACAATCACTCAACCCATGCTTGTACCTCCTCTTGAAACTTGTTTTCCCACTTTTCTTCAAAATCAAGTAACCTAGCAATTAGCTTGTAACTTGTGCTTATGACCCTTCAAAGCACTCAAACCTCTTTGCTTATACATACACAAGTCATTTGCCACAAATCCCACGCATGCTTAAGCCCTGAAAACACGAAGAACACAGAATCACCAAAACACTTCAAAACTTGTCATTTCTGAGTTTTGAATCCAATCTCCAAATTTACTCGTGCGTTTCTTGGCCTTTTACTTTCAAAATCTTCTAAACAACATACACAAACAATCCCAACACCTGCAGCACCACTGTAACACCTCCATCATCATCCATCATTTTCAAAAACAGCACCTTGCACCTTGACTTCTCCAGAACTACTCATACACTTTTAGCTCAAGTTAAGCATCCCATTAGCTTCCTGTGAACTTGAGGAAGCTAATCCAATCATTGGAACTCACTGAAAGCTTCTCAAACTCCAAACTATATACCCTCTTGCAAGGTAAGTTTTCTGACTTCTGAACTCTTCATACAGGCATCATTAGTGGTTTATTTGTGAATGAAAAATGTAGATATCATTGCCCTAAAGCTAGCCATGCCCATAGTTTTCATTTATTTTGCTTGAGCTTAGAGAATTTTAAGGTTGAATTTTATGAAATTTTTAGGGTTCAGATTAGGGCCATTAAAATTCATGCTTATCTTTGATCTATAATTTAATTGCTTTGCATTTCTGAAATTGTGAGAAAATTTGCTACAAGTTTCATGTTTACACTTTTCATTTTTGTTGAGAATTGAACAAGATACAAAGGCTCTGGCTGGGCGTGAGGTTGAAGATGAAGTTCAGGACATGGACTTGTTTACTATCATATATTTGTTGTTTTGTTTATATAAACGGGTGTATAGCCACCCCAGTGGTAGAAGTGCGCGTCTGTGACTATAGGGACCTGGACTTGTTTACTTTCATATTTTTCACATTCTGACTTTTCTTTTTTGGCAGCGCTGGGCCTCTTTCCTTGGGCTTATGTTTTTTTTCCACTTCTGACCCCTTGTCGGCTATTTACACCCTGGCGCATTTTATTTTCTTTTTTTCATTTTTATTTATTTTTGTTTTCTTAAATATATTATCTAACACTAAAAAAATCAGAAAAAAATATATAAATATTAGATTTATATTTTGATAAAGTTTATTTATTTTGTTTTTTTACACAAAAAATTATTTTATTTAACCATACTTTATTTATTTTACTAATTATTTTGTAAATTTAATTTAAAAAACTAGGGTTTTAGTTATTTCCTTTTACATCATTTAAATATATTATTTTAAAATCTAAAAATGACTAAAAATATTTTATAATACTATAAATTATATTTAAGACAAAAATACCAAAAATAATCTTCTCATGAACTTAATTTCTTTTTTTTAATTAACATTTAGATTAGGGTTTTATTTAAATTCTTTTCCTATTAAATTTAGGTTTACTTTTTATTATTTTAATTAATTATTTTCTTTTAATTAATTAGGTTAAAATAAAATCCCTTTTCCCTAAAAATCCAAATAAACATTCATTCTCTTTACATTTACATTCTTGTATATTTATTCATTTTTGTATATTATTTATTCAATTCTTGTACAAATTCAATATGGTTGTAATAGATGATTAGGCTTTATTTTCTTGCAATCCCCATTTATAATTTGTACACCCCCTCCCACAAGTATTGTAATAGCGTAGTAATTTTAAATTCCGCAATTTATCGCTTTATATATAAATGCTAGTAATTAGGGTTTGTATGGAAAAACTAAAACCAATCAAACTAGAAAACCCTAATCAAATACAAAAACCAAGCATGAAAAATAATACACTTGCACACAAGCACCCGTAGGGTAAATCCACTTGGTTGCCTTACAAAACGGACATATTACGCATGTGAGGTATCTTAGCAAAAACAAGCAAAAATATAAGATCATAGTCCCTCGATGACGCTATCTATGCTGCCTTTCAAATGATCTTAGTTCCTAAAAGAGAATGCTAAGACACCTTGCAACATTTCTAATCATGGTTATACGATGACCTACGCCCGTCCCATTCACATCCAAAGATAGGGTTACTTACCGAATCAATGGTAAGATAACAATTTCAAAGGAAAAAAGAAATGAACATGAAAGACTTTTGAGTAGGTAGAATGCTCCTAAATACTTTCTCTATTTCAAAACAAAACATCCTTGCTATTTTCAAAACAAACACCTACACTTTCAAAACATCTTACAAACTTGAAAACATTTTCAAAATATCAACACCTTTGTATACATTCTTACGAACGAGAATCATTACAAAAGTTTGCCTAAACAATGGCCTCTTTACAAAATACTTTCAAAAATCACACAAAGCACAATTTCAAACACAAGCAAGTGATCTAGCAAGTAACTAAGAGCCCATGGAAAACCATGGATGAAAAGGGTGCTAATACCTTCCCTTTTCATAATCTACCCCTCGAACTCAAGAAATAATCTCAAAGGTATTTCCTGTGCTTTTTCACCTTTCCTTTTGCATAAAAGAAAATTCGGTGGCTACTCTTGCTAACCGCAACATTTGCAATCAAACGCAAAACCTTCAAGTAAGTTCTCCCACCGTATCACAGAACTGGCGACTCTACTGGGGAAAATTCTAAAAGTGGGGTTACCTTAGGGTTAGATCACATTTACGTGCTTTCATTGTTTGACTTGTTTGCTTTACATTATGGTTCTTTATTTGGGTTTGAATCCTCTACCCGGATTTGAGATACCTTATAGGTAAGTAGCAATACGTTGTGGAAACTGTGCAGGGTATACCGATATGGTCTAAGAAATAGCTATGTTAGTGCGACATATTTGTGGGTAGCGGTAGCCCTTGAGTTAATCAAGGATAATACGGGGCCGCTGAGTGATGTCATGAAGCACTAATGAACTTTTAGAACCTTTACTTGACCAACTTGGCCTTTAGGACGTAGTGAGATGACCGGCTTTGGTGCAATCTGAAGTTGGTAGATACTCGATACTACACTCATTGAGGTTTAGTTTTTTG